TACTTTATACTCTATAGTCTTTTGATAAAAAGATAACCTCATTTTTTATCTTTTACCCTTTAAACTATAAGGTTTCTGAATTTTTTTAATTTCTTTAGTAAATAAAATAAAAAAAAACCAGAATGCCTTAGCTAGAGCCTTTAGACCCAAGCTTTAACCAGCTAGGGTTCTAAAAAGTCACCTGCTAATTCACTCTGGCAGTGATGAAAGGCCTTGTATGTCACGTGCTTGCAGTCGATATAGGAAATGTATAATTGCTATATTTATAATTTATTTCCTATATCGATATATAATTAAAGGAGTCAGAGTCGGAGGTACCATGAATAAAAGAGTCGGACTTGAAGGTTTTATGTACTGACTCCACAGCCCTGGCTGCCACCATCAAAAAATAATTGGCTAAATTAAGGGAAACTACTCCTTACTTTGCCTCTCATCTTTTTAACATACTGCTGGCTTGTCTTACATAATTACTATGTTACAAAAATTACTGAGAATGCCCTAAGTGAGGTGAGCTTGGCCTATCCACATGATGCTCCCCCTGCCTCCAAAAAGAATTTGGCTAAGCTAGCTTGTTTTCCACTTGGCCTGGAAGTCCACTAAGTGACTTGGCTTACACATTATCCTAAATTGTAATATAGTTTGTTTGGTTTAGACAGTATGTGTGAATCCATTATGGTTTAAAATCATAGTTTATGGTTTAATTTATTTTGCAAACCCAACTATGGTGGAGTGTTTCCCGAATCGCAAAGAAACCATGACTTAGCATAATGGGCAAACCCAACCGGCCATTGGAGACGAGTCGCTGGCAAAATGCCTTATAGGCTATATTTGGTTTCAGCTCAGTGGCTTGTATGAACTTGGTCAGCAGACAAAGATAATTTACGCAAGCAAACGTACTGAAATATGTGGATCCAGTCATAGAATCCCAATTTAATCTGCTCAGAGTTATAAGTATTGAAAAGCCGCTTTAAGAAATTGCAGGATGATCACCAAATAAAAAGTCAGTGAGCCGGCTTGGATATTTCGTCTGTTACCAGCCTGAGATTTGCCAATCACAGCCAAGAGGTGCAGGGGCACACCTATGCATTTTGAACTAAAAGTTGATGAGCCAAGATTTTGTTTTAAATGTCAAAAGAAAAGTTCACAGTCCTGCAACTGAAAAAATTGCCCCTGGTTTCCCAAGCCCTGATCCTTCCGCACCCGAATTTCAGAAGTATAATTGGGAAGGGGAAACTCATTTTGTTGCCGAACCGATATTTTTGAACCTGGTGTTAGCCGATCAGTTACAAGTAGCCTGGAGATTGACCGGGGATTGGCCAGCGTCCCCTACTCAACGTTGCTTCAAATCCGCTTTCTCCCCAAAATTTAGCAGGGATGATCTTCGTACGCTGCGCGTACTTGTTGCTAGTGGAAAGAGGAATAGGGGCAGAGACTGCAAAAGGCGGGATCCACCTTCTTCACAGTGGGACGCACTTTAGCAGAGTCGCTTGCCTCCCCTCTGTAAGAATTAATAATCATTGCTGAAGTGGAAGTCAGGGCGTTAGAAAATCGATACTTTCTGCTCACGGGCGTCGTTGCAACAAGAATACCTCAACAACGCCTGCGGGCCAAAGGAGGCGGTCGGGCCTTTCCCAGTTGTCGTCTCCAAAGTCGCCCGTCAGCTTCGCCGCCGCCTCG